AGGAACATAGAAGCAAAAATCCTTAATAAGATACTGGCAAACAGATTACAGAGGGTCATCAAGAATATCATACATCCTGACCAAGTCAGATTTATTCCATGGATGCAAGGATGGTTCAACATACGTAAGTCAATAAATGTAATACACTATCTTAACAGAGTCAAAGACAAAAACCATATAATCATCTCAATAGATGCAGAAAAAGCACAAAATTCAACACCCATTCATGATAAAACCCCTGCAAAAAAATTGGAATAGATGGTCTTTACCTCAACTTGATAAATGCTATCTATGAAAAACCAAGAGCCAACATCATATTAAATGGTCAAAAACTGAAAACCTTTACATTAAAATCAGGAACAAGACAAGGATGTCCACTACCACCGTTCCTGTTCAATATAGTTCTGGAAACATTAGCCACAGCAATTAGACAAAAGAAAAAAAATCAAAGCAATAAAGATAGGAAAAGGAGGAGTTAAACTGTCATTATTTGCTGATGACATGATACTCTACATTGAAGACACAAAAAATTCCACCGAAAGACTTCTAGACTTGACACTTTCAGCAGAGTAGCTGGATACAAGGTCAATACTCAAAAATCAGTAGTCTTCTTGTATACAAATAGACTCACTGAGAGAGAAATTAGGGAAACAATTCCTTTTATGAAAGCATTCAAAAAAATGAAGTATCTAGGAATCAATCTAACAAAAGAAGCAAAAGACCTCTATACTGAAACCACAGCACTCTGAAAAAAGAGATCAAAGAGGATATAAGAAAATGGAAAGATATCACCTGCTCCTGGGTAGGAAGAATCAACATAGTGAAAATCATCATACTACCAAAACTGCTATACAGATTCAATGCAATGCCAACTGAAATTCCAACACTATATTTCACAGAACTAGAAAAAATAATCAAAAAATTCATTTGGAATCAGAAGAGATCTAGAATAGCAAAAGCCATCCTAGGCAACAGAGACATGGCAGGGGGTTAATAATTCCCAATTTGAAACTATACTGTAAAGCCACTGTGATAAAAATAACATGGTACTGGCAAAAAAAAACAGACCTGAGGATAAGTGGAACAGAATGGAAGACACAAAAACAACTCCAGATGTACTCAGCTACCTCATGTTCAACAAAGGAGCTGACCATCCTCAGTGGAGGAAAGACAGCCTCTTTAATAAATGGTGTTGGAGAAGCTGGATTTCAACCTGTCTAAGATTAAAACTAGACCCTTATCTTTCACCATGCACTAAACTAAAATTGAAGTGAATTAAAGATCTAAATATTAAAAAAGAAACACTAAACTTGCTGCAAGATATGTTAGGCAGAACTCTGGAAGACATTGGCATAGGAAAAGACTTTATGAACAAATCCTCAGTAGCACGGGAACTAGCAGAAAGAATCAACAACTGGAATTCAAAAAACCAGCCCCCCCAATATAAAGACTTGATCAAAAAGGGGCATCTGAAATGAACAGACATTTCTCAGACAAAGAAGTAAAAGCATCAAGTACATATGTGAAAAAATGTTCGACATCACTGGTCATTCAAGAAATGCAGATGAAAACAACACTGAGATTCCACCTCACCCCAGAAAGAATGGCTGCTATTAAGAAATCAACCAATAACAAATGCTGGCGGGTTTATGGAGAGAAAGGAACCCTTCTCCATGGTTGGTGGGAGTGCAGACTGGTGCAACCACTGTGGAATCAATATGGAGATACCTCAAAGAACTAGGACTAGAAGTCCCATTTGACCCAACTATCCCTCTGCTGGGTATCTTTCCAAAAGAATTAAAACAAATACCACAGCGATATATGCTTACCCATGTTTATAACAGCACAGTCTGTAATAGCTAAAACTTGGAAACAGCCCAACTGCCCATCAGTTGGAGACTGGATAAAGATGTGGTTTTCCTATAAAATGGAATACTACTCAGCTACAAAGAATGAGAAATTAAGAGTCATTCGTAGGAAAATGGATACACATTGAGGATATACTCCTAAGTGAAATAAAGAAGTCACTCACACACATGTGTACATACCAAATAGTTTCTCTGGTGTGAAAAACTTAAAGTGTAAATAAGATCCAAATGGTATAACTGACAATGTGGAAATAGGAAGAAAAGGGCTAAAGGTGTACGGAAAGTGGGAAGGGTCGGGGAAGGGAAATAAGGGAAAAGAAAATATGAGAAAATGCAAAAATGGAAAAAAGGTTTTATAAATAGGGAAGGGAGGAGGGGGTGAAGGAAGGGTGCAGATAAGGGAAAAAAATGAGAACCAAGACCTGTCATGTAAAGGTACAAGATCCCAATGGTGAATGTACCTGTACTGTATACCTAAAAAGTACCAATAAACTCAGTGAGAAAAAATAATAATAATGCTCATTCCTCATATGCCATTAGCAAATAGAGGAATGATTTCCAAATAATGTGGAAGTCACTCTCCTACAGGTGTGATGCTTTTTTTAGAAGCCAATTTTTTGTCACATTACAGAGACTCAAGAGTGTCGTCCATGATGACATTCACTTCAAGCCGACTCTCGCTCAGTCCAGCCATTCTGTCTTTGAAGCGCTTCTCTCAGCAGTGGTTTCTTTCCTCTCTGCCCTATATTTTTCTCTTCTTTCATGATGTAGCAGTTTCTGCCTTTCCTCACACCCCTTCATCGAGCACCTTCATGATCTTTGTAATAAAAGTAACAGGTTTGTTGTAGTATCTCCTCAGCGGGGTAGTAACTGAACACTTTTTAAAATGTGGAGTGATTTTTATTAGGATTATTGCCAATTTGTTAGTTGCACTATTTAGGGGTATTTTCTTTTCTTCCCGGCACTGCACTGGGGTCAAGTCCAGGAATGTGAGAGCACTGAGTCCATTTATTTTTATGTTTAGTTATTTTATTCATTTTCATTTATTTATGTATAACTTTGAGGCAGGGTCTTACTAAGTTGCCCAGGTGGGACTCAGACTTCTGATCTTCCTGCCTCAGCCTCCCTTACTGCCAGGATTATAGCCATGCACCACTATGCTTGGTGGTCAGGTCCTTTTAAGAACTTTACCTTGACCCGGATTTTCCCCTACTTTGTTCCAGCTCTGTTTTCCTTAGTTTCCAATAGTTCTTCTAAGCCATTTAATGTTCACACTCTTCTGGAATGAAAAGCTAGCATTTTACAGAAAACACTACCCATCTGCTTTTAATAAACATCCATTGTTCTCTAGAATTCACCACCCTTACAGAGGACACACTGCGCATGAAGATAGGGAAAGTGTATCAAAACGGTCCCTGACCGCATTTCCAGCTAAGGAGTTCAAAACGTTCTCAGTATCGAAATGTCAGCATTGGGAGATTTTTCTGAGAAAAGTCCAAGCGATCAGTATGGACACTGATTCGATTTCTGCCTTTGAGCTTTTCCCCGCTGTCCACCTCAGCTCCTGACAGCCCCAAGTCCTGCCGGGACTCAGTCTCAAACACCAACGCTGTCCTGCCTGCCCTTCCTGGAGGAGGACAGACCCCCTAGCCCACTCACGACAGCGACCTGGCAGTCTGGACTCGAATCCCACACACAGCCTTCTCCAGCGTCTGAAGATGTTCCCCCTCCCCCCCCATTATCACTCATTAATATCTAGGGTACTAAGAATTGATATTTAAATTACAAAATTTGTCCTTAATTCCTCTGCTTGTCACATAAGTTTTGTGCCTGATTATAACATTTTCTATTATAAATTCTAACTTTAAAATACAGTCCTTTGTTATTAAAATGCCTTTTAGGGAGAGAGAAGGTTTTGCTTTCCTTGATTTTGTAGTTTCCAAATGGTTTCAGTTCATTTTTTCTAATCAATCCAAAAACTTTAAGAGGCTACTCACTCATTCTGAACTTTTGTCAACTTTAGACTTTGACTCTTCTTCACTGAAATCATTTTTTTTTTAATTCTGGTGCCACATTTTTAATAGCCACCCATTCCTAATATTTAATTACTCCTGAAACTCTGATTTGCCTTATTCATCTCTTCACCTGAACCCCTCTATTTACTATGTTTTAATGTCATAAAGAATTGTTTTAAGTTTGCAAGTTCAGAGGAACAAGTCGAAAATAGCGTGCATCATGAAATACTAATAAAAGACGGAACCCTGTTGTTTTGACAGACGTGCTCAAGTGGTAAAATCCAGCTTCTCGGTGATTATCTCAAATCATACGTTTCCAGCTGAGTATTCAGAAGAGGAAAGCAGATCGTTTTCAAATAAAGGAAGACTGAATCTTTCATTCAAACCCACCCAGTCACAGGTCCGGGCCAACAAATTCACAATTCCAAAAGCAGACAACTGCAGTCACCGGATGTCACTGGATAAGGTGACAGTCAGCAGGTAACATGACATTGCAGCACAAGGAGGTGGCATCCGTGGGGCTGGGGTTGCGGTGTGCGCTGAAACCGTAGGAAAACCCCGCGTGGGAAGGTGGGCCGAGGGCTGCAAGCTGAGTGTGACTTGAGTCTATGCTCAGAAACCAGGCAGTGCAATGATTTCTCCACCCCGGCTACTCTTCCGGGCACCAAGAAGCGCTTAGGACCCTCCCCCGAAGGTCCGCAAACTGCCTGGGTCAGGATTACTCCCTCCTGCTTATTACCAAAGTCTAGGGCCTTACTAGCACGTTCCCTGGCAAACAGAAATAGGGTTGAATGAACAAGGTTTTTCTGTATCCCTTCTCGCTAAAAAGTCCGTTACATGAATTTTTGTTGTTGTTGTTGTTGGTGGTCGCGCTTAGACAGCTCTCTGGAACAGTCGCAAAACGCAGTTGGACCCCGACACCGTCCAGGGAAGTATAGCGAGTGCGCCGTTTGCCAGGTCCGCAACGAGCCAAGACCCTCGAGCCCAAGAATCACCTCTGCGCCTGCGCAGATCGCGGCTTCCCAGCCAGAGGGCGGCTTCCAAAGAAAAGGAAATGGTCATTGCGCGTGCGTCGCTCGCGCCGCGGCGCAGGCTGTCTGCGCAGGCGCACGGGGGCCGTTTTGACCGTAAACATCCTGCCGATTTGAACCGAGGATTTGGGCGGCAGGAAGAGCCGCGGCGTAACGGCCGCCATCTTGTTTGTTTGAGTGAATCGGAAAGGAGGCGGCGGCTGTGGCGGCGGCGGGAGCTGCTCCGAAGTTACACCTCACCAGTACGCCCCCCTTTCCCCGCCCCCTCCCCGACCCCTTTCCCCTCCCCGGGCCACCCGGCGGCGCGGCTCCCCGCGGAGCGCCAGGTAAGC